TAATCAGCTATCACCGCATAGATCTCAACCAATTGGTAAATCGGTAAATTATGAACAAGGACGTATAGGATAATCTTTGTTTACAATATTTGCGTTATTAACATAAGCGATACAGTTTCTGATGGAGCTACAAAAACATAAGTTCTTAATATTGAAATGGAACAGCAAGATTAACTGGCCCAAGAAGTTTTAGCCCGATGTATTGAAAAAGTTTTGTGCGACACGGGTGTAAAAGCACAAAATTTTACAAGACTTTTTAAGACACGCCATCTAAGATGCAGTTCTTTTTCACTCCTTCAGACAAATTATTTTGACAGGTGTCCATATCAATGGACAGTAAGAGAAATTTGGTGAATCAATTTAGTTCTTCGGTTAGCAAATAAAGAGCATAAAAATTTATAATGTCCTGGATAACAATGTCTCTGAGCTGTCATAGAAAACGAATATTATCGTGCCAGTTTCAGAGGTAACAAATAAAGTGACATTCGTTACTTCTCGCTTCTCATTTTATACTCTTCATGTTGTAAAGACTTGATTTTGAAAAACAGTACAAAGCTCTAATTCAAACGTTTCTTTTCCCCTGCTCTATAACCTTTAAGATTTCTGATGCTGGTCATGTGAATAAATCATTTTTTTGTTGATAAAGGAGTCATCAATATAAATTTTTCATTTATAAAACTGTCAAGGAACAGAGATAATTCACAGTTAAATTTCAAAGCATCGTCTGAAACATTTCAAAAGAGGTCTAAAAAATTTTTCATAAATCCACCATTTGTAAAGCTCGAAATAGTGTTTATATTAGAAGACATCAATCTTATCTGAACCAAAGGTCGACAATTTCCGTGTTCAAAATAAGCACAAGCCACGAAGCAGTCTTTTAGTACATACATAATCCTAACAAGACGGCACCCGATTAATTTTTCGTTAAATATCAAAAGCGATATCACAAGCAAGTAAATGAATTGCTAATTATTAGAAAATCAAATATTTCCTTCCGTGAAGCTATACTCTAATCACGATTTGGAAACAAGCACGAAGAACGTTTGCATGTTTCA